ATGATGTCACACCATTCGCCCACACATCCTTCAGCCTATAGTAGCCATTCATGACTATGGCCGAAAGCTTGGAATAAGATGTTTTCGTTCTAGGGAACATTTTTAAATTAAAATTTAATCATCCAGTTGTCATTACTCAATACTTCTTTTTATCCTTTTCTTCAGAAACGCTACTCATCCTCATCAATAGCTCTCCGTGTCTTAGAGGGAAAGAAGGCACTTACCTTAGAAGGTATCTTTTTTGTTATGGGCCAAATTGCAACTGGGCTTAATTCCTTTGCTCCTATCCTTGGTATCGACTTGGAGCAATTCCATGATTTGCACCTTACCATAGTGACAAAGAGTTTATTGCATCGGAATTTGAAAATGATGAAGACAGTGACCAGGAGACAGAACAGGACATTGCAGTTGACCAACACAATGATGTCATTTTACATTCTGTGAAAGATGTTTCAGTTGTCCATAATATTAGAGTTGATGGTGAATCTCCAGTTAAAGGAATCTACTGCTAATTATATTAATGTATTCATACGTCATAACGTCGTGTATATATAGTCGCCACGTGCGATGTAAGGTTCATTCGGGAAGCGCAACTGCTTCAAACCTTTCTATGAAATGTACTTTGCTTCTACGTACTTTAAAGTTGCATTAAAGGTTTCAAGACTATCAGGTCTTCTTCGTCAAAGCGTTTGATCGTTGTGCTTACTAGTTGGTTTCAAATTCTACACTCTACACCTCCAATTGTTTTTGAATGTGAATAATTATAGCAAAAATGTGAAGCATTGGTCAATAATGCAGTGTAAAAAAGGTTCATAAGATATGAATATATTGTTGGACAATAAATTATGTAGACATATTTTTTCAAAGTTGAAATAAATTCAAATTTAATAAATTGATGGATATCCAACAATTCCACAATCCTTAATGGTTACTAAGTATCAACAATCTTAGGGCTGGTTCGATTCCAGCAAAGGATCCTAGGTTAGTTGGATAACACCATCTTTACAATACTAATAATCATAATTTCTGTCCAAGGTGATAATTCTAAATAATTTCAGATAAGCTCACACAATTTAAGAAGCTATGATATTTTTTTGGCAATTGGCAATTGTTCGCAGTCAACATATATGACGTCATATCACGTGATGGGCGTGGTCGATCAAACAAAAATTTCGATTTTTGTTATTGCCTGGATGAGAGCTTTCAAATGAGATCCTTTGCCAGCTGAACAGTCAAGCCCGAGAGATTTTAGCATCTAACCCTAAGCTGGGATTGATGTCCTCATACATTTCTTTGTACCCAAGGTTTTGACTGAGCAAAACAGAAACTGAGCATTTAAGGAACCTTGTCCAAAATCAATAAACTTGGCAATTTTGGGTGAATGTGCCCTGGGAGAGTTGAAAGCGTGACATTTCGTGCTGTCGGGTGCCACGCCCCTGCCAAAATATGATGWCATAGCCCCAAATCACGAAAATGACATTTCACAGATTGCCATGTGTGTGGTAACATATGAAAGCTTATCATATCAAGAACACAGTAATGCATAGAGCACACKTTTTCCTTTCAATGGCATCATTGTAGCCCCACCTCTTTAGTGGTTGGTGCAAAATGCACACCTGCTTCACAAAATGAGCCATGCCWTAATACTCGCAACAGGAAATTTGTGCAAAAAAGATAGAACTGTMAAAAGATGTACTTCAGTTTTAGCTTTAAAGAAAATCGATAAACGTGCTTTTTACAAGTTCCTYGCTTTATAATRGCAGTGATTAACAAGTTTTTACAGCGATGTTCTATAGAACTCCCAAAGCGACAGAAAACACAACCATTTGAAATCTTTTTTCTCTTAAACAGTGCTACTGTATTGCAATTGAAATTTTGATAAATAGARAAYAAAAACAAACCACAAGATCACCTTATCTTTATTCAAAATATCAAGGACATGGTTGGATGCTTTTAATTTTGCTAAGATGATTGAAGAAATGAAGGTAATAATGATTTTGTTTTGTCAGTTGTATTTGGGCTGGATATACGAATCAGGCCTTAACATACTTGAGGCTGTGTAGCGCCTAATAGCTAAATTTATTTATTTTATTTAGAGTGAAGTCAATGAACCCGTGAAATACATATTTCACTATTACATGTTATTACTTGATAATTCCATTGTTTTCTTTTGTGTCTATTTGACTATTACAGTTTAAGTATTTACTTTTATTTCACGGGTTCAATGCCTTCACTCTATCAACTAGGAATTTTAATTCAGGCATAAAGTTTTGTTTTAAATTTTTGTTTATGCAGTCACTTAATCATTAATTAGTTGATAACAAAATCTTATCTAAATTAATAAGGAATTGTTTCACGCTTGATAACTCATGTCAGTTCACGCTTAGAAGAGGTGACTGCTTAATAGTGATGAAGTTTGCACCATACATTGGAAAGCAAATTTGGGACTTAGACCCTGTTTACATTGAGATAGGATGCCGGCAGCCCCTAGTGGTAGGGCCAAAATCCTGTGTTTTAAATCCTCCAAGGAATARAAAACAAAAGAGTTGGCACCCTATTCTCATRTAATCAGGGTCTTAATATCAATTAAGTGACAGTGGAATAGAGGATGACCGCTTAAGGGACCACTTAGAAAGTGCTGTTTCAGAGTTTTGATTGTATTTTGAATTTAATTCAAGTCTACTGTACATGTAGTCGAGCATGTATTTGTTGGGAAKAATTGTATTTAGATATTTTTTTTAATTACACAGCTGTCAGACAGAAAGATAGATAACAAAGGTCTCTATAGATCTGTCTCTGTTTATTTTCTGGTACAATTGTGTTTTGTAAATATTGGAACTATATAGGCAATATGCATGGTGGTCATTTTCCTGAACAAAGCATGATGGAAAACCGAGTACTCAAAATTTCTATGTCCGCTAACGTAAACTGAAAAATACTATATTATATATATTTGGTATGATTTTTATTAAAAAAAGGCAAGTAATTTCCATCAAAGAAGATGAAAACAATAGTGTGTGTACCTACAAAAACAATTTGATTTGATTCTAGTTGTC